TTCAACACTATGCTGTCCTGGGGGGCAAGTGACAGTGAGGCAGAGTTTTCTGCTATGTGTGGGCTGGTCATGCCCACAAGTGTTAGAAGCCTGAGGGAGGATAGGATGTGAACGGAGGTGTGTAGTAGCTTCTGGTGAGAGGAAGCAAAACACACTTTATTTGATGAATACTAAAGTGAAGGAAATGAGAAAGGGTGCTACCTAATTGTCATCAGAACTGCTGCTTGCTTTAGTTTAGGCTCAACTAGATTTTCTTATAAGCCTTAGGACCTAAGACTTAGGCTCTTGAGGCTTTATTTGTGCCAAAAGTAATTATTTTTGAGGCTGGGGATTTATTAGCTCAGTGGTTCCGGCGCATGCCTCACAAGCACAAGGTCCCAAGTTCGATCCCTGGTACCAAAAAAAAAAAAAGTAATTATTTTTAAAGTTTATCTAAAAGACAGTGCTTAGACTTTGATGATTCAATATGTAAGAAAATACCCTGATGGGCCGGGGATTTAGCTCAATGGTTCCACCGCCTGCCTCGCAAGTGCAAGGTCCTAAGTTCGATCCCCGGTACCAAAAAAACCAAAAAACAAAATACCCTGAGATTTCGTGCTATATGGGGAAGTTTTGACTCATCATTACTTGACTGGAAGGTTTTAATGAAATGAAGTCTTCTAAAGTTGTTTGGCATTTCATATTTCAGAATTCTGCATAGCTACCTCAATACCCTAGAGCAGCTTGGCATTTTAAAAAAATTTCATGATTTTGGGTACAAAAACAAAATCATGGCAGCATCTTTTATAAGACTAAATAATACTGTTGTAATGTAGTATTATACTGTATAAGATGTTAGTTCCAGGAATGGAGTTCAGTGTTGGGCAAAGACAAAGATAACTTGTCATTAAAATCTTTAAGATTAGTTAATATTAATGTGCAAGCACAAAATCAGTTAATACCTGCTTGTAAAAATGCATTTTCATTTCCCTTAAATGAATGGGCACAAAGTACTGAAATCAGCTGAGTGTGATGGTGCATACCTATAATCCCAGCATTTGGGAGGCTGAGGCAGAAAGATCGCCATGAGTTTGAGGCCAGCCTGGGCTACATAGTAAGTTCAAGGCCAGCGTGAACTACATAGCAAGATCCTGTCTTTAAAAAAAAAAAAAGGAAAGAAAAGCAACCAATCAAGAAACACCAACATGGTGGCTGGGGATTTAGCTCAGTGGCTTTGCCACCTGCGTGGCAAGTGCAAGGTCCTGAGTTTGATTCCCAGTAACCCCCCCCCCCCAAATCCAATAACAACTAAAAAGTTCTGAAATCAGATGTTGGTATCTGATTATTTTAGGTTCACTCCGAAGTGTTAGGTGAAGGAGGGCTGTGTTTGTTTTTGTGGTTGTTGCTAAGGAGAAGTGGAATGTGCAAGAAAACAGTTTGATGGTTCCTCAATAAGTTACCATATGGCTCAGCAATTGCACTCCTGGGTATATATACCCCCCAAATTGGAAATAATTGTTCGATAAAAATTTCTATACAGCTATTGATAGCAGAACTGTTCACAATAGTTAAAAGTTAGAAACAACCCAAATGTGCATCAATGCATGGATGGCTAAATAAGGTGTGGCACATTGTACAATGGAATACTATTCAGCCACAAAAAGAAACAAAGTACTTATACATGGTATAACACAGATGAACCTTGAAAATACTGTGTTAAGTGAGAGAAGCCAGGTAGAAAAGACCATATATGGTTCCATTTAAATGAAATATCCAGAATTGGCAAATCTGCAAAGAGAGAAAGCAGATTACTGTTTACCAAGTAGGAGAGAGGTCTAGGGGGAGGAAGTAAAGAGGAGTAACTGCTTCATGGGTATGGGATTTCTTTGGGGTGATGAAAATGTTTGGAACTAGGTAAAGATGGTTGTTGCACTACATTACCGATGTCTTAAATGTTACGAATGGTAAATTTCATGTTAGGCATATTTTACTACAATTTTAGAAAATGTAGTATGCTACTTTTGGCAAGACTTGGGCATCCTGGTAGAGAGCCCTGCTGCAGAGAGCACCTCACATGGCTGCTGAAGCTCCTCCAGTGCCCTGTAGGACTAAAGGCAGCATGAGGGACTTACAGCTTGTTGGATGCTTTCTCATGTAAAGCCATGGGGAAAATTGTGCTGTTTAAAACCCAAGCATACAGAATACTGAGCTGTTTAAAATCCAAGCATACAGAAACCCAGCAGTTATAAATTTTAACTACAGTAAGGCTAGGATAATTTCAGTTTATCCAATGAAAAGGAAAATAAACTTTCATGATCTGGTGGTGCCATAATAAGTTTAGTTAAAGGTGCATGGAAAGTTTCTAGTTCTTGCTGCACACAGTTTTTTCCTTTGTCCTCAGGAGTGTACCACTTGCCCCTGTTCACCCTGTGTTCTCCTTTCAAAAGGAAAAAAAAACCTTTTGAATGATCTTATTTCTGACAATGTTTGATTAATCAGAAATTCATAAAAAATTAAAATATGTTTAAAGAAAAGTGTAAGCAATCAGAGATAGTGCTATTAATATTTTTGAATGTGTCCTGGGGTTTTCTTTTACTTTTTTTGTTCCCCTTGTGACTGTATACGCACCTGCATTTGAGTTTTGTGGGATCATGCTACCTTTATCAACGTAGCAGTGATGTTGTTCCTACCAGGAAGTACTAATAAACATATTAATGGCAGCGTAGTATTTCATTTTGTGTGTTGTCCTGACTGATTATTCCATGACCAATGTTGTGAATGAGCCAAGCAGGACCTTTCCTTGCAGTGACTCCCCTGTGGGCAATTAGTCCTCTGTCAGAGATGATTGATGACACAAGGTTTTGGTATTTATTTCCTCTTAGTTTTTTGTGCCGGCTAATGATAGTCTTCATACCAGAAGGAATGACCTGCCTCAGTCTGTTTTCTGTTGCTATAACAGAGTACCCAAGACAGGATAATTTGCAAAGAATAGAAGTATATTTAGCTCATGACACTTTGTGCTGTGAATTCCATCAGCATGATGCTGGCATCTGTTCTGGTCCTTCTTGTTGCATCATAACATGAGGGCATCGCATGGCAAGACAGCAAGTGTGCTAGCTTGGGCCTCTCTTCCTTTTTTAAAAAACCACCAGGGCCATTGTGGGAGCCCCACCCTCATGACCTCATCTAATTTTAATTACCTCCCAAAGGCTCTGTATTCAAATACCATCAATATATGAATTTGGGGATTAAGTTTCTAACACATAAACTTGAGGGAACACATTCAAACTGTAGCATGAGCTGGGCATGGTAAAGTACACCTGTAATCTCAGCACTCAGGAGGCTGAAGCAAGAGGATTGCAAGTTCCAGACCCGGCTGAGATACATAGCAAGGTCCTGTCTCAAAAACAAACCAGATACTCAAACCGTAGCATTAGAGAGTAAAGGAAAAAGAGGGCCTTAAAAAAATCAGCTCAAAACTCACTTCTGAAGACATAAAGCTTTTCCTGAACCCCACTTGATTTAGTCACTTCATCATCTCCCCCGGTAGAAGAGGGGGACAGAGTATTGTACAAGAGCATGGGCTCTGAAGCCAGACTGCATGGGTCACATTCTTGCTTTTGTGACACTGGATGGATTACTTAACCCTCCTGTGCCTCACTGTTCTCATCTGTAAAATCAAGATAATACTGTCTCCAGGGTCAGATGGGACAGTCTATGACAGGAGTACTTGGCAGCGTATGGTGAATCCTCAGTAAATGATGGATAGTGGAATTTGATTCACTTATTTCATTCAGCTGGCCGTACCACCTTGTGGATTTTTGAATTGATCTGTGTGCTTGGAGTGTTCAAATAGCGTATCACTCTGAAAAGTCCAGGGGCCTGTGTGTCTGTTAGTGTCTTTCACTGTATGAGCCCCTTGCCAATAGTACTAATGAATTGTCTGATCTGACTTGCTGAAATGATACGGTTCCCTTGGTAGAATTGGCCTTCATTTCCCAATAAAAATAACAACAGTAAAACTCCAATGAAAACCCCTTAAAAACCTGGTAAAATGCAGTTCCTTTGAATAGGATACCATCGTGGACTTCACTACTGTAAGGAAATTCCTGACTAGGAGAACCTAGAATTCTTTAATGACTGTGATATAAAGACCAGAATTATCTGAAAGAACTAAAAGCCCTTAATCTGAAAGACCAGTCTATAGTAGAGGAGCGGATAAAATCTGAATTCCCCTCATTCATTCAGGATTCTTGGGCACTGAATTGTTTTCATTAAGTACATTTTCTTGTAAAATTTTATTTATGTAATTCCCATAACATTTTATATTTTAATTGTTTGGATGTAGTTTTTCCTGATGGATGCTCCATAGTTTAGAGCTTTCAGTCAGGATGTATTGAAGAGCCAATTTGTTAGGCTTTGGGTCCATATCATTAATATGTTCTTGTTATTTTTTTTCTTTTAGTTCTGCCAAATAATCTCAATGCCACTTGCCTTCTAAAGACTCAGATAGCTGTACCTTTACACAGCTTTTTAACTTTTACCTTTTTTTCTCCTTGCCAAGGTCTGTCAGTTTTTACTTTTCACTACAGAAATGTGCACAGTTGCTTTCCCCATCCCCAAAACACCTTTCTAATTTATTAATTTGTAAGTAGGTACCCTGGGAAACCAGAAACCCAATTTAGTTACTACTTTGTGTAATAAAGGAATGTACTTAGTGACAGGTATTTTAACTATTCATGGACTCTACTAATTTACTTCTAGGTTGCAGGATATTGTCTAGTAGAATTCTGACTTGGGGCAAAATGCCATTTTATTTATTAACTAAAGTGCTTATGATTTTTTAAAAATCCTAGCATTGGTGCCTTCCTACTATTCCTAAATTAAATAAATGAATTAAGTTAAAGAAGAATAGTCATCACCTGTCCTCTGCATAGTTGGTAAAAGTTCTGTCAAAAGGAATTTGGATCTTTTTAATAGAAGAATCTTAGGTATTGTTTTCCCATTTTTTTTTTTAACAGAGACCTGTTGTTGGATATAACTGTCAATAGGCTCACAGACCAGGAGATTTTAACCATTGCACGTCACTACCGTGTCCCTGCGGACATGGGTTCAGATGGGAATCTCTTAATTGCACAGGCTCAAGAAAAGCTCAAGAAAAATATGTTTGAGCATTTTGACAGACTCATTTCTAGCTGTGTGTATGAAGATCGAAAAAAGTAAGCTTTATTTTATTGATTCTAATAAAGTTTTTAAGTACTTTAAGTAATGAAGGAATTTATATTTTATCCAACAGGGTGAAAAGAAAATTGACATAGCGCTTTATACTCCACTATTTAGCAAAACCACCTGAAATCATTCGGGGATAGGGATGAATAAGGGAGGCCCTGTGTCATTAGAAGAAGAGGCTGCCCCCTGCAATTTTTTGTTCATTTTTAGAAGCTGTCAACTGAAATGTAGTAAATCAAAATGTTACAAGGTTTAATTCTGAGGCATCATTTTAGATTATTTTAAGTACTACCTGGTTCTTATAAAGAGGCCTTTTATAATACATAGAACAGAAAACTTAGAAGTAAACTTTATATTGAATTTCTTTGAAATTACTTCTTAAAATTAATGGACCTCAGGGCCGGGGATTTAGCTTAGTGGTTCAGCCACCTGCCTTGCAAGCACAAGGCCCCAGTTTTGATCCCTGGTACCAAAAAATAATGGAGCTCAGCATAATCTATTTCTAATACATTGATCATGTTTGCTGAGTTCATGAAATCATTGTTATATTCAACTGAATACAGCCATCTTAATATGTTTTGGGATTTATTTTACCCATAGACTTGATACAGTGGGTGGAAATATAAATTTATTGATTTCATTTTGAGTTGGAAAATCCTTGTTATTGCATATCGCTGCCATCTCTCTTCTCTGTGACCCTTTTGTTCATCTGCAGGTTTGAAGTTGGTACCCATGTGGCCAGCTGCTGCCCTGAGTATCTTTGAAGGTCTCATAACTTATCTTAAAAATGAACATGATTTTTTTCTTAATCCATAATGTATTCTTACTGAATTATTATATAGGTGTTCTTTTTCTTTGAATCTTTAAGCTTCCTTGAGCCTCCTAGAGGATGTGTGGAGTGAGCTTTCATGACACTGGTCCTCTCTTCCCCCATGGTGGTGCCCCTTTTCTAGGATGGAAGTGTGATTCTCCTTGGCTAAAGGAATACCTCTGGGTATAATGGGGCTGCTTGATCAGATAACCTAGCTTGATTTTGAAATTTATGGAGCCTAGGGCCAGAGATGTAGCTCAGCAGCACAGCACCTGCCTGGCAAGCACGAGGCCCTGAGTTCGATTCCTGGTACCAAAAAAGAAAAGTGGGTGGGGGGAGATCCAAAAAAAGGCCCCTTTTTTTAAAAAAAGAAATTTATGGAGTCTGTTAATCATTATTTTGTCTTTTTGACATTAATGACACATGCACAGGTCATCTGATCAGATCTGGATCTCCTAGATCTGACGAGCTTTGATTCTACACAAACCTCATTGCAAAGAAAAGAGCCCATTTTCTTTCCTGTTGATTCTGATTTTGTACGGTGTAGGAGGAACACTGGCTAAGTGAGAACACTGCACAAGCATTTCTGGGGAAAATGACTGTTGGGCTCCTCTAGAGACAACTACTCACATTTGACAAAATTGAAGTAAATGTTAAGCCCAGCCGTGCAAACCCCCCCCCCCCCATGCTAGCTTCCAGGTTAAAAGGTGTTTGGGTCCAAGGAGAAGATCAGAAAAATACCCTTCGGTCATATCATATTTGTGTTGTACGCTCTACATGCTTTTCAAACTAGGATGTTTTCAAATATGAAAAGCAGTTTTGACTGGTGGTCAAGAATGCAGATTGATTACTTAGAGCAACACTCATGGCTATTGCCTTAATAGTCGGTACTGTTACCAACCATGAATCTAAATCTTGAAGGAAAGGCCTTCCTAGGACAGAATCTGGTGACCACTGAAATGGAAACGGTTAGTGAAATGTAATATATCTGTTTTTCCTTACTGTGAATTCCAGTACCAGTTTTCATGCCTACTTCCATGTGCACATTTTTAGGACATAATCATATTTTAATTTTTTCTCCTATAATGTAATTTTTGCCAGAAGGACACAAGGTATATAAAATTTCATTTGCTTTGTTTTAATGCAGAAAAAATGTATTGCCCAGTAGAGACATCAAAAGGCTCTGCAAGTCCCACAGGTTTCCTTTGACTGATGATCTTCTGGAAAACTTACTGTCCAGGTAAGCAAAAGATCGTGTGTAGTTTTATTTTAAGGGTTATTCTTGCTTTTACATCTATCCTCATTTACCCTTGTCTGTTTTGATTATATCATTGATGACCCAGCTCCCTTTAAGTAATGCAAAAGGAAAAGTTATTCATAATTTTGAAATTTATGGAGCCTGTTAAGAATCATTGTTTTGTCTTTTTGACATTAATGACACATAAACAGGTTCTAGGCACAAAAGGAAATGTACATTGTGGTATGAGACTTAGGGTTATTAGCACAGGGCCGTACACTGCTCCAGCATTAGATGTGAAACATAGGTTAGAAAGTACAATGAATTGCTTCCTAAAACACATCACTTCTCCTGTTGAATCTGACTTGATTTTCCAGTCTCACCCTCCTCATCATCCAGATTTTGGTCATCTTTTATCTTTTGTACGGCATCATTCCACCTCCTCCTCTGACTTAACATATCTTGATAATTTTAGTATTTTTGGCTTTGTGCTAGGCATTGTAATAATTGCTTTGATGCATTATTTCATTTTCTTTTTTTATTTTTTTGTACTGGAGATTGAACTTGGGTCCTTGCGCTTGCAGGGCAGGTGGCGGAACCACTGAGCTAAATCCCTGGCCACATTTTCTTTTTTAAAACAACTTGGTGTAGTCAGAACTTTTATCCTTCCTATCTTATACATGAGGATGTTGAGGTTTAGAGAGAGATAAGGTATTTTATCCAAAGACACTTATCTAGAAGAAGAGCTGTGACGTTCCCCCCTTACCTTTGAAATGCACATCCTTTGCTTTTAATTATTTGGAATTATTGTCTAGAAATAGCCAGTATATAGTAGTACCTCAGTTCACAAACTTAATTCTTTCCATGATTCTGGTCACAAACTGAATTGGACAAGAACTGAATCAAATTTCCCCCATAAGGTCAATGTTGATCGTAACCATTGAATTTGATTTGGCTCTTGTCCAATTCGGTTCGCAACTAGTATCATGGAATGAATTAAGTTTGTGAACTGAGGTACCACTGTATTAGGGTACCTTAACAGTTCCACCCTCTTCCTACTGCCTGCACTCATTCTTTCCTCTCTATTCTCACTCTCATTATTCTTGTTCTGACCCACATTTCTTCTTGACTATTGTGGGGCTTCTACATTGGTATTTCTTCCACCAGTCTCTAAATTTTTAAATCTAACTTTACATATAGTAGTTAAGTATCTTTTAAGAGCAAAAATGTCATCATGTCACTATTCTACTTGCAAACCTTCTGTGATGTCCCTTTGCTCTCTACAAAAAGACTGCACTCCTTAGTTTTGAACTACAGTGGTTCATGAACATAATTCATTCCATGATTCTGGAAAAGATGGCAAAAGATGGCTGTGGTCGAGTTTGTCACCCAATGCAGAGTTCACAAACAAAAACAAAATTTTGCCAAATGCTTCTGTTTGTGAACCAAATTCTTCATGAACCAAAGTACCACTGTACTCCTTCTCATCTGGCTTAGGTATTTTAGAGTGCTGTTCTCATGTAGGGACTCTGAGACAAAAGGAGAAATAAAAGGAACAAATAAAAACAAATCCCATAAGGGAGAATGAAGGTGTCATGAGGGGAATTCAGAGGAGGGTACATCCAGCTAGATATGTATAGTATGTGCATTGGATTGACCTTGGAGTGATTTTTCTAGACTGTCAGCTCTATTTCTTTTGCTTTAACTCTTTTTGCTCTTATTTGCTAGTAGCAGTATGATTGATAAATAGGTCATGCTAGTATAAAAGACCCAAGATGAAATAGCAGACCTAGAAGTTAAGATTGCCCCTAGTTAGCACATTCCCAGTGTCCCCCTGCCTTCGCCATGGTCCAGCAGAATGGATCATCATCCATTTCACACATACTCTTCCTGCCTTTTCACTTTTTTACTTTTTCTCTGCCTATTTATTTTCTCTTTCCCTCCCCCCTCTTCCTATTCCTCTTCCCCCCTCCCCCCTCCCCCTCCTCCTTCTTCTTCCTCTTTCTCCTTCCTTCCTTCCTTCCTTCTTTCTTTCCTTCTTTCTCTGGCAATGGAACCCAGTGCCTTATGCATGCTAGGCAAGTGCTCTACTTCTGAGCTACACCTCCAGCTCTTCTCCGGCTATTTCTTTAATAGGAAACAGTTACCAATTTTCCTAGCTTTCTCAAAGGCAGCTCTTCCCTCAAGTCCTATCTTCGTGGCCCCCCATGAAGCCTTGCATTTGTTTGGCTGATGATTGGAATGATTATCACCTTAGTAATTCTCACAACACTTTATGTTTCCCTTTTAGTCTCTGCCCTTGTAATAAAGAGTGCTGACTTAGCCTTTGATCCATTTAGATAGTCACCCGCTTCTATCCTGTTTGACAATTGAGTTGTCCTAGCTACCATGTTCCTTACATTCTTTGAATCCACTTATTAGCTCTGTAATCTTGGACAACAGTTTTGACCTGCTTGAGTCTCCAATTCCTTATCTCTAAAAAGAGATAACAGTATTTACTTCCCACCTGGTGCTAAGTATAGACTAGAGACTAGGAAAGAAGTTCAAGTTGGGGGCCATAGACCACAATCTGACTAAAAATGAACTAGAAAAAAAAATCCTGTGTCCTTCCTTTTTATTATTTATTTATTTATTTATTTGTACATGCTTGGATTATATAATGTTTACATTCATCTTAAGGAATGGTTACACACACTTAACATGTCTTAATTCTTTTTATTCCCCTTCCTCTCTCCTCCCTCTCCCTCTGTCTGCCTCTAGATCCCCTTCCCATTTGCAAATAGCTTTCTTCATGGAGGAAGCCTTGTTTTTGGATAGTTGGATCTGAATGCCTTTCACACAGTAAGCTGTCTTCTCGTCAGGAAGCTGTGGATGTTTATTAGATTATCTCTTGATTGGCTTACGGACGAGTTGTCCTGGGAAGTCCAATAATGTGGGAGCTTGGCCTCTGGAGGACCTAGAGGTTTTCTATCCAGTGTTGAGGCCACCAAGTCATCATCCTCCCATTCTTAGCAGACTGCTTTGTCTTTGCCTTTATGATTTGACATTTAATACAAAAAGATGATTCCTCGACTTGCTTCGAAGTTGTCTCAGTCTCCCAACACATCTGTCTCCAAGCCCAGCTTAGCTTAGAGGAGGTCATCCCTCTCTGCTGCTCAGCAGACCATGTTCAGTCTAACTTTGCCTCTAATTGTGCACTGACCCTTCTCCACACTCAGGGGAAACTTCAGACTAATCAGATTAGAAAATGTCTCATTCCCATTCCCCTCTCTCTCCAATATGCCCTGCCATGATTTGGGTCACATGCTTGGTGTTTTGCATCATCTCCGCAGATTCCTTTCAAAGACTGCCCTAATTCCTAATGGGCCCATCAGCCTGCAGCTCACATTTATATTCTACATTCTTATTGTTCCCCACAGACTCGACAGGGCTTTATGGAGCCTTGACCAGAGTCTCTTTCTGTACAGCCTTCCTCATGGCATGCTAAGCCAGAGCCCCCTCTGACGTCTGTAGTCTCCCGAGGGAGGCAGGCATGGAGTTTGTTGATTTTGTTCAATGCATACTCTGCCCAGGTGGGTAGATTTACCTGCTTTGAGATGAGGCTGGGCATCTGCTGAGCATTTATCACCCTTCTGTATGAATTCAGATTGTGAGATGAAAAACAATATGACTAAAGGATTGGGTTCTTTCTTTCACCCAGTGACTGTTACCCGGGCATTTCTCCTTGATCCTGTGTTTTGGTACTAAGATTTCCCTTCTATTCTGTTTCTATTGTTCTTGTAATCCAAGTAGGTCTTTTACTTATTTGGGTTTTGCACAACCCAAGTTACAATCTGGACGTCAAAATCTTTTCACCTCCAGTTGCTCCAGCCCCGATCAGTTTGTGCTAAGAGAGCCAGTATGAAGTCACTTTACTCTCTACACATTCATTTCAACTAATGAACTGTACATCAGGTATAAATGTTATATGTAGGGGTGGCTATTACCCATTAATAATAGGAGTAGCACTTTGTATTGATACAGTGCTAAGGGCCTAAAAATATTCTGTAAATTTTTTATCACATTAAAAGATATATTTTAATTGATCATGCTTATTATTCCTCATTCATAAGTGTGATCATTGAGACCTAAGGGGAGCCTCTCACTGAAAGAGTATGTTCAAGGAGAATCACAAATGGAATTAGAACCAGGATTCCCTAAAATACCCTAAACCTTTGCTTCCATTAGAGCTCCTAGGGTGGAGACTGTGTCTCCTTCACTTTTGTACCCCTAGAGACTTGTCTTGTGCTCTGACACTGTACATGGGGGAAAAAACCTTGTACAGGCTTAGATTTCGCCTGACCCGACTGTGAAGCCCAGCTCTACTTCTTCCCAGCAATGTGGGCCTTGTACATGTTTTGTCAACCCCTCTGCACCTTCATGTTGATGTGAATGTCTCTCGGTACCAATAAGCAAGAATTCCAATTCTCAATCCACGATTGATGGAGAGAATTCGGAGGTCTTTTCCTCTTGTGTTTCTTGTGCGACTCAGGAGTAAAGAAGTATTCTCCTCCCCTGATTGTGGCCTTCTGAATCTAGAAATTCAAGTGCAGCTCTTTCCCCAGCAGCTCTGTCCCAAGCTCATCTCTTATAGCTGGCTTTGGGTTCCATGGAATGCCTTAGAACCGGCCTCCCAAGAGAGCTGGTGCCTCATCCAGAAAGAACAGTTAAAATGGAAAAAGTTAACGGGGCTTTAAAATCATCTCATTATGCGCTACCCAGACCTGCCTCTTTCCCTGCTGCCAGAGGCAGGGTTGGGCTCCTGTCATTTCACCCAGCAATATCTGGCAGTGAGGCCGAGGGGCAAGCATTGAGCCATGTGGCTGCTGTTGTTGCAGATTGGTAGATTGGTGTAATAATGACATTTTTCAGAAAGGAGTGCCCTCCCCCGCTCTCCCCTCCCTCTCTTTCCCTTTCCTTCTTTCCCTCTCTCCTTCTCCCCTCTCGCTTTCTTTCCTACACCC